ATCCGGGACTTCTCCGGCAACAAATTCAATTCGATATTTTTTGCCACCTCCCTCATTTCTGGAGGAGTAAGTACTTCCAGGTCGCTATCACTGTCCATTATATAATAATTTAAATATACCGATGTTTTTCCGCACAACTGCCAGAAATTTCATGAATTGTCAAACAATAATTATTATGGACATTTCCATAGCAACCAACCATTCCAACAACTGCGATTTCTATCAAATTTTATTTTAATTGAACACTACAGGAAAAATAAAGAGATTGTGAGAATTGTAATAATTTGCAAATACAATATCCTCCTACATCATTATGAACAATCGGAGAAAAAATTATATGTTCAACTCGGCAGCAAAGTAGATTGACGATTGACTGCCTTAGCAGCCTCGGCAGTCAATCTACTACTTTGCTGCCTAGTTAAACAAATAACTATATTCAGGCATCACGCAGTGGTTACGGATCTCTTTCTATCTTATGTTGGCTAATGGGAAGCGCTCGCATTATTTGAAATAGTTTCTCGTTTTTTGCTTTTATTCAAGAGTAAACGTAATTTAATAGAAATATTCGTTCAGGAAAATGGATAATGTTGCAATCAACTATCATTAAAAGAGTATTATTGATTTTTTTATTGACTAAAAAGTGAAATTTCATTTTTAATCTTACGGGATTAGGAAGTCCAATGAATACAAAATTGAAATTATTTATTCTCATTCAAATGTCATAATATTTTGTACAGGCTGAGCGAAGGTCAATGTCTCAGCACTTTCGGAAGAAAAAAAGTATAGAAAATATTTGAAGAGGTTCTTGAATGGTATTTAGTACCTAAGGTCTATTTTCAAGAGTACCTATTTTTTCATTAACATTTCACTATTAGAAAGTGAATGAAATTTGAATAAAAGTATATAGTATATATAGTTACAATTTGAATAGAAGGGATCATATAACACATCAGGAATGCCAAACGTCTGAATATGGGTGAACGTAGATTCTTACACATGAGTTGTTTGATAATTACAGTTCTTAATAGTGAGTGCCAACATACTTATCTAATTCGCTAATCCGAAGGGGACTGTTTTAGTTACCAAGCACCTCACGGAAGTCTTACAAAGGGCTATAAAGATTAACTCAGAAAATTCATACTAGATGAACATCTGAATATTCTTGCTAGATTGTTTCAATTTTACAACTCAAAGAAAGGTACCATGAGTATGAGTTTATAATGATATTGTTTTCCTAATCGTCCATAGTTTTGAAATTAGTGTATTTCTTGTATCCTGTGTGTTTTATTTATTTATTTTTTATCAACAGGTGCATATGTAAATATGTTATTCATATAGGTACTATGTACCTTCTGTAACAGATTCGATATATTATGTACCTATATAATGTATTTATTTTCGGTTGCAATAAACATATATTATTATTATAAAGCTATTCACATAGTAGAGAAACATATTTTTTCAGGAAAACTATTTTTTGTGTCACTTATCGATGAATAATTTCAGTCACATCACATTTTTGATCAAAAACTAAATTTTTTCAAATGGAACCCCTATGGGCCACCTACAGGTGTCTCTAGAATATACATAACTGGAAAAAACGGAAAATAATGACGGTGCAGTAACGAATTGAATACATTCAAAAATCAACAACTAGTTTTATGAACTTACTTGCAGTTCGAATAATTTTCCAAGTAAGATGTGGAAAACATTTCTGAAAGTTGTCATTATGTGAAAATATACAAAAAAAACGGAAGTCCGCCATATTGGATTTTGATGTCATCAAATCCGAAATGGTTGCTTACATGACTATACCTAATTTCAGAAAAATCCGTTCATGAATTCAGAACTTACAGGGATGGCCCGATACCCTGTGTCGCCCGGTATTGGTAACAAATGAAAAATGTCCTAGCTCGTGCCGTGTGCTATTCTCGAGCATTATTTATATACGAATTCGATCTTTTATTTCACTTATTCAACATTTTTCACATACGTAGGTCCATCTTCCTTTATTCGAATACGAATTGCATTCGAATGGTTCTAGAATAGATACTCATACAGCGCTCAATGGGCGTGACAGCGAAATATATGGAAATTAACTTCTTTCTCTGTTACACTTATTGAGCAAACGGAAACTTCTAACGCGAATATCTTCATAATCGTTTGAAATAACCCAATCAAACCCGGTTTCGCTGAATGAGTTATAATAATCCCTAATCGATAATGAAATAAAATACAGGGTGTTCCATTTGAAAATCGAGAGTTTATGTCATTTCCAGGAAACCCGGAACATGAAAAAAATTCCTAGAATGTGAGAAAGTGCCGTCTAGTGAGCATATTCGAAGTTACCATTCATCATGCTGGAAGATAGCTAGAGTCCAACCACTTCCCCAAAAAAAGGAAACAAAAACCTGCCCAACAACTACAGGCCTATTTTCCTGTTATCAGTAATCTCCAAAGTGATGGAGAAAGCCATCAAGATTGAGTTTATCAAATATCTGGAAAGCTCAGGAATCATCAATTATATACAATAATTATGGCCACCGAAGATCAACTGGAGATCTACGTGCCTATACGTCACCCATATATAGCAAGCTTCAATATGGCGTCATACATATCGAAAGCATTCGACCGTGCTTGGCACCAAGGAATCCTTCACAAACTACCATCATACGGATTTACCACCTCAGCTCTGTGCCATCTCTCATCGAGTTTTTTTTCAGGCAGATCGCTCCACGTGGTGGTAGATGGTGTATCGTCTGATACCATTGCCATCAATTCCGGCGTTCCACAACGATCAATGTTGGCACCAACATTGTTCCTACTTCATATCAATTGTCTGTTGGGAGCAACCACTTGCCCTCTATCCACAGTTCTGCAGATGATAGTAATCTGCGTACTGCGCTCTCTTCCTGAATTCCCATTTCCTCCCAAGAAAAAAGAACTCACGGCGAAGGCAGGTCAATGCTGTTAATGAAGATCATGCTGAAATCACAGCCTGGGGAACCAACAACGCCGCGAGAACTCAATCCTGTATTTTCTCTAGAAAGGCGGAACTCACAGTATGCCTGATATAACAATGTCTGATACCAACATTCCCACCAAGTCAACTATATCTATGCTCGGTGTCTTTATCAGCAATACTCTTTCATGGGATAATCATGTCAGATCCATCACGAAAGCTGCTTCACATGATTCACAAAGCACAGATACGACCTGTTCTAGAATACTATCCTTACACGTGGGGTTCATCAGCGCCCCCCAAATACATACTTTGATGCTCTTAGATTCCATCCAGAGAAGATCCATTCGCCTAGTGGGTGATGCCACACTCACTAACACTTTGACATCATTGGAACACCGTAGAAAGGTTGGCGACCTTTCACTTCTCTATAGATACTTCAACGGGAAATGTTATTCAGAAATCTCTATCATTCCACGACTAGCAATACAAGCCAGACGAACTCGACAAGCGCAGTCATCCTTTCATTGTCAACCTCGAAATATATCGAACAGCACTATATCAAAACTATAGAGGAGGCTAACTCTGGAATTCATTGCCTGAGGAAGTATTTCCAAGAACTTATTATAAATCCCAAAATATAAAAAAATACCAACACCTATACCTCCTCTCCCTATCGTCCATATAGGAACGCACGATGTTCTTCGAACATTTTGAAGATTCCCTTTCACCCGGCGGTATGTACAGTGAGGACCAAAAGACCGACGCCCCCCTCATAATTTCTTTATTTTACGTGTTTCATATTTGAGTGTGATACTATATATACTTGTAGATAGAGGACACTTTGATGATTCCATATCACCCAACATTGATGTGTCTACCCGTCTCTATCTGGTCATATAAAATATTTGAACCACTTTGTATAATCTATCCATAGTTATTGGTAGATGTATTTCAGCACTTAATATATTATATCCAGGAAAACAAAATGGAAAACGAGATCGGAATCCATCAGGTCCGTCTTTAGGAAAAACAGAAAACTTCTTCTATTTCAAAAACATCACTCTGTTACGGCAAAATTTGTCAGATATACAGAAGAGCGGAAAAAAATTAATAGTGACCTATTTTTTACGAGCGCGCATCCAATTTAACATATATGATTTATCATTATTTTTTTGAATAATCAGCTCTATTTTGAGATATTTTTATTGAACTCCTCATTTAAAATACAATTTTAATACGAAAAGATAGTCTTCAAATGTCAATCATAGGTGAACCCATTGGGTGAACCTCGATAGATTTGTTTATTTGACATAATAAGGTGTCAATGATTTTAGACATTTTTCGAGAATTTCAAGGACAAATTGTATTCTTCACTATATTTATTCAAAGGTTGTGGTGAAGTAGGCTTTGCAAAACTTTATAAAATTCTCTACTCATGTTGTTTACAGCTCGATTCATGTCTTATTATTATATCCATAAATGGAAAGCGGCAAACCAATAAAGTATTTCATCGGCCACAACGATGCTACGATCATTTATAGAACTTTGTACAAGCAAAAACAAGTATTTTTGAATAATTCGAATAGACCACAAACCAATAAAGTATTTCATCGGCCACAACGATGCTACGATCATTTATAGAACTTTGTACAAGTACTAAAAAGTATTTGTTGAATAATTCGAATAGACCAATCACTCAATCAGCTTCCAAATATTCTTAATTTGATTGTTGAGTCTTAAAGTTTAGTTGTTTATAAATCCAAAATGAATGCATTTCTATATGAAAAGACATTGACACTGAATATTTGGCATAATCATTATCTTGATCATCCTGAGAATTAGGTAGGTACCTACCATCAAAAATTTCTAGTAAGAAGAAATCAAGCATTTATAAACTATATATGAAAAGACATTGACAATGACAATATATTTGGCATTAATCATAACCTCAAAATAAAGTATCTCAAAAATTTCTAGTGTCAAATGATAAATAATATACAATTAGAAATACCCACTTATTTGGTATGGTACTTACCCTTATTTTCAAGACTTGTCCTACTGGTAATGGATCAGGAAACTGCGTTGAAGGCTCTCTGTCCACAAAATGAGATGAACAAATATATGCATTTTTCTTAATGTCACATAACCTAGGACTATTTTTATCTTTCCCTAAACACATATTAACCCATCTTTGACATGTGTTGCAGGATGGGCAACTTTCTATGTGCCTGCGAACTGGTTTTATTAAAACGTTTCTAACGCGAAGACAAGGTTTTGGAAAATTTATGAACGATATCGTGGAATATCGGCTGTCAGAATTACAACCTTCAAATTCGCATTGTTTTAGAATACCTTCTTGTTCTACATCCGCTCTTCTCCTTATCACTGTTGTAGCAAGTTTACTGACCTTGTTCATAACTTCAAGAACAAAGGGTGCAGGTAATGAAAATGTTTAAAGTAGATTAAATATCAAAAACAGCTACCCGAATCAGATTAATCACAATAATCAACAATACACTAGAACTAGAAATACTGTAAGGCTGTCAAAAATTGTAGTTGTGATCCTCACCACAAATTATGTGAGAGCCACAGTCGTTTCTTCCAATCACATACGATTTTGATACTGATCCGACAGATATAAGTTCTATTCGTTTGTGCTCGCTCTACCTGCTCAACTCGATTGTTTTCTATGACTCTCTCTGTTTACAGTTTACATCATCATTCATGCCATGAACAGATAACAAATCAACTTTAGCAAGTTCAGCAATACAAACGAACAGGCCTATATAAAGGTCTGTTCGTTTGTGTTGCTAAACTTGCTATATCGTTGATTGATATATTACGCTTACGCAGCGTAATATATCAATCAACGCTAAAGTTGATTTTTTATCTCTGTTCATGGAATGATGTAAACAGAGTTATAGAAAAAAGTCAAGTTTAGCAGGTGAAGCAAACACAAACGAACAGGCCTTAGGCCTTACATGTCATCGCAATGTCTCGAAGGTCATTTGCTTGGAGGGTAAACAATCTTTTTTTTTCAACATATTTACCGTTTTAAATAAAGAAAAATAAAGTAAAAGTTGTTCTCCAAATATTGTGAATTGTGGTATTAATGGAGTCAGAGACAATGTGGGATATTATAGGATACCCTCAGAGCTTTACCATCACAAGACAAGAATGAAAACAGTTTAGCCAAGAAACGAGAACTGCGCCTGGATCCTGGAGAAGAGCAGATATGTGTCAGACACTATAGCTGAAAAATGGACGAATATATTCAAAGCACTTCATTTCAGGTAATCCATAATGATCAGTATGTCAACTGAATTGAAGCTAACCCAGAATATTCATGGTATTTTAGGAAAATCAGCTAAACTGTTTGAAAATATCCTAAAAAGAACCACCCAGATTGGGGGCCTTGTTTTGATATGGGTTCATGTCAAGATAGCAGATTTGAGAAATATGTAAGAAGTGTGAAAAGAATGCAAAAGGAAATGTGAGATTCCAGATTTCCTCCTTTCAAAAAGAAATGTGTTCATCACCCCAGGACGCCCCAGGTTTGTGAAACTGCTGAATGGCTTCCATTACCTATTTGATAGTGTAGTCTGCTTTGATTATGATTTTTTTTGTATTATCAATAATTATTCTTGTTCCATGCAGTATCTCATTTTGTAGGACATACCCATGATGGAGGGACATACCTATACCAGAAGACATAGAATCTCATCTTTGCCTTGTTGGTCATGATCAAGAAGATGTGGAAATATTGGATAATCTCCCTCATTTCTCACAATGAAGAACATGAACCATTGAGAAAGGAAGTACAAAGTTTATATAAGGAGAAACATTTGAGATGGAAGAAAGAATAATGATACTTGGGTTTTGATGTGAATGATGGCTACCTAAATGTGAAATAATGAAATTAATAAATGAAATTTTCACTCAGCAATTCATCTCATTAATTAAAATATAATATGAAGGATATTGATTCATGCATAAACTAAACTCTCTTGATCTTGGTAGGTATTAATGTTATGAACATTTCTCAAAAATACTAGGTAAAATGAATAGTGCAGGTATGAAAATGTTCAATTATATATATATATTTATTGAACAAGATATTCTAATATAAGCAAAAATGATATTATTTTTCTGTGGTAGTAAAACAGCTTGAAATTTCATCTCTGTTGACAGGTTATTAAATGTCACTTTTCAATAACTTTTTTTCCACGGGGAAAAGTGAGTACTTCCTTCCCGGATATATATCATATATATTTATATATATACACCGTGTCCCAGCTAAAATGTCCCCCCCTGTGAAAAATCAACCGCGCGATCAAATGACTTAAAATTTGGTCACCCAGTATATTTGATGATGTTCACTCGAATTATGCTATTGAATCAATCGTAGGTATACAGGGTCACACCGAAGTGCACCTCAACTTTCTTATTTGAATAAGGGCACCCTGTATATTATTTCATATTCAAGTAGAGTTCATTATTACAAATTCTACGATGCCGGGTTTGATGGGATTTTTTCAAACGACTACGAAGATATGGCAAAAAATCAAACGATTCAATAAAAAATGTATATGATTAGATTTTATTAATATAACACGATTGAAATCGAATGAAAAAAAATTAAAACCTCAACTGCTCAATATGTCGTCCATTCTGCTGCAAACATTTCCTAGCTCTTTTGATAAAGTTCATTGTGACCCTATGTATCACGTTGCGATCAATTTGCATGCATAAATTTGTGATTTTCTCTTTCATTTCTTCCATAATCACAATTGGTGACTCATAAACCTGTTGTTTCAAGTAAAGCCCCACAAATAAAAATCAAGTGAGGTGAGGTCTGGCGACCGAGCTGGCCAGTTGCTATCACCATCGAGACAATTGGTGGTAATTAGATTTCAATTATTTTCTTCTCATTCGATTTCAATCGTGTTATATTGATGAAATCTAATCATATAAATGTTTTATTGAATCCGAGGGGTAAATCTCCAGGAGAAATGTGTACACCAGACTTCCAATGAACAGAGACTTCCAAAGACTACCAAAGACTTCCAATGACTTCCAAAGACTTCCAAAGACTTCCAAATACTTCCAAAGACATCCAATGACTTCCAATGACTTTCAGTTATTACCAAAGACTTTGAGCTAATTCCAATAACTTCCATTGATTTTCGAAGCCTTCTATTAATCGATTGAAGCACAAAAAAGAATTTAGTTAGGACACTAAATGTTCAAATTAGTGATTCAGTATCAACTATGTTCGCTTCTACATATATATAATATCATACCACAGTCTTCCGTTAATAATATCGCAACAAATATTTCTAGCTATATGCTAATGAGCTAATGTCATAGTCAAGTACAGGGTCCCTCTAGCTCCCTTATTTCAGAACCGATTTAAAAATTTGAAAAATCATCTAAAATTTCCCGTTATTTCCCGTTGCATCAGAAAATACAGGGTGCTCGGAACAAACGATCTACAGAGTACTACTTGATTTTTTCAAATGGAACACCCTGTATTTCATTGTATTCTTAGATTCTCCCTGAAGAGCTGATTTCATCAATACATCACACTTAGGGTCTAGCGGGAATGATGACAGAGATATAGGGTGTTCAAAATCGAGATTTTCCAACTTTAGGATTTTTTTGTGTGGAAACTATTAATTATTTGATTTATTGGTTGAAACGGCTCCAATGCCCCTATCTTAACTTTTGATTAACTATCTACTGACATTTAATTGGAACATATTCAGTGTGGTTCAAGATTCAGAATTATATGATACAGGGTGTATCTGTTCCAATTATCGAATGTCAGTAGATAGTAAATCAGAACTTAAGATATGAACATGAAAGCCATTCTGACCGATAATGGATAGTTTCGTCACAGGAAAATCTTAAAGTTGAAAAATCTCGATTTTGAACACCCTATATCTCTGTAATCATTTTCGCTAGACCCTAAGTGTGATGCATCGATGAAATCAGCTCTTCAGGGAGAATCTAAAAATACAATGAAAAATAGGGTGCTCCATTGAAAAATCAAATACTTAGTACCCTGTAGATCGTTTGTTCCGAGCACCTCGTATTTTCTGATAAAGCGGAAAAAACTCTATCGAAAATCATTTTAGATTATCTTTGAAATTTTGCAATCGGTTCATAAATATAACTGAGCTAGACATTCATGGTGAATCACCCTGTACCTACATGACTTAAACGCGAAGGAACATCTGGAATATTTGATAACATGAAAAAGCAGGTATACAACCGAAGGTACAACTGAGAGTAAGGATAAGTGTTGAAGAAATTCTTCATTTACCCAGGATGCGAAGTGATATTTCGAAAAATGGGAACATCTACACCCCCTACCCCTCGAAGGCTTTAACAAGTAACCTTCTCAACGAAATCAATATCAGGACCGGAATATTATTTTTTTCCTATGTTGTTATTGTGAGAATAACTCGCCCTGTATAATAATTATCAAAAATTTGAGGTCATTATGAATTGACGGAAAAAATACTATATATAGGAACTTGTGAAAAATATTTCTGGCACAATTTCAGTCATTCCGTAATGAATTATTATTTTAATTTTTTTCAATGAAAATATGATGAATATTCACGACATGAAGACATAATTGTTGTTATCCTCTTCTTCGATAACTTCGTAGAAATATTTTATAAATTACTCTAGTACCCTGAAAAAACTGAAGAATACATCAGTATCAGGACCGGAATGACTCTTATTCATGTTCTTGTAAGTACAGGGTGTTCCTAAAAGGTCTCTACAGAATCTCATATTCCTGATAAGCCGATTTGAAATCCGAAATTGATCCATTTCCGAGATACAGAGTGGAAAATTTGAAAAATAAAAATCGAATTTCTTCAAAATTTATGAACATTTTTGAACGTATCACTTTGAAAATCAATAGGGATCTTCGGGATGCGAAGCCCCAATACGGACACATTTTCACTATGGCCATTAGAGGGCACTTCTTATGGTTCAGAAGGGCCATAACTTTTTTCTCAATGTACTTTTTCACTTTTTTCGTTGATGAAATGGTTTTTTCAATATTTTCAAGGAAAAAAAGTGTTCCTGTGTAAAATTGCTGAAGTAAGCCGATTTCGAAATATTTTCGTTTTAAGTGTGTTCGATGCTGCACAGGAATATTCAAATTATTTTGAATAAAAAATGCATTTTTTTTATGTATGATAAATTGATATTTTCATAACATAGGGAATGCAAATTCTCGATGTAATTCTTTATATATATATATATGTATATCCATTTTTTTATGTTCATAATTATATCTGAGAATATACCTTTTCAATAAAAAATGCCTTTTTGCTGTTATCTTTGTGAATGTAATTTGGTCAGCAAATGGCTCGGCAAATGGGTAGTGCAAAAATGGGGTTTTCAAAATACTTTTTTCTGTGACGGGAAAAAAGTTTGGCATTTCATTTCTGTTGGCAGGTTATAAAATGTCACTTTTCATTAATCACTTTTTTCCCGTGGGACACATAG